CTTTCTTACAAAGCATCAATCTTCTTGCCGTCATCGATACTCAGATCTCCGTTAGACTCAAAAATCCGCATTTCAGCCCCAAAGACAGCAAAAAACAGCTGTTTAAAGGGGAAAACTACTGCAGGAATAAAACAAAAACAGCCCCAAATTCAGCTCGGCTACGGCTCTGATACCAATTTGATAGACAACACTTGTAGAACTCAAGTTAAACTTATTAATAAGGGAAATTCAGTTATTTCTCACCACAGTTCTCCCCACAAATCAAGAGAAATAGCAAGAAACAACGTAATAATTGATGAAATTGGAAGGAAAATACCAAGATACAATTGATCATCAATTCGAGAGTAGGATCTACCTCTCCCAACCCTCTAGACGCCACTAGAGCCAAAAAAACACCAAAGCACCAACAGAATTAAGAAAATCAAAGGTAACCCTAACCCTAATCCCAACCCTTCAACTTAAAGCATACAAAATAACAAGGCAAATTACTAAACAGTCCATACATAACTTAATTCCTTCCCTAACCGCCCCTTCCTTCCAAATATGATGCAATAAAAAGATTGCCAAAATTACATAAAAACTAGGTCTTCTTTGAGAATAAGAAAGTAGACAAAATACCACACTTAAAACGAAACAAAATACAACTTTATAACATATAGAAGACGCTTACAAACTTAAGAAATAAAACTCCTAAAACAGCTTTTCTTTGATTGAGAATAAAGATACAAATGGAGTGGACGCTTGTGGAGAGAAGAAGAGATAAGAAGCCCGAGACAAAATCGAGGAGAGGAAGAGAGAAAGGGGGACAAGCTCGCAAGCTTTTCCAAGAAGAAAACCCGCAGGTTTTGGTCCAAAAATACTTCACATAATCTCTTTTTTATGCTTACAAAACATCACATATATAGAGGAAAAAAGGGGCAATCAAACAGCCCAAAATACCTCCAACCGAACCAATCAAAATAGGGAATAAAGAAGCCCAACAGGCGGCTCCAGCAACAGCAGCGCCGAAGGGACCACCTGGGGACAGGAACGGGCAACACAGGGAACCAGAACAGGCGCCCACAGGTAACCGGAATAGGCAGCCAGGGGAGAAGAACCAGCCACGAGGAAAGGAGCCAGGGGAGAACCGAAGGGCCAGCAGAGAAGGGGAATAACTTCAAATTATGAGTTGAAAAAGAAGTAGAGCTCAGCAATAATGAGCTGGAACCAAGCAGCTCCCCAAAACACAGCAAAACCGAACAGCCAAGCCCGAAACCGAGAACCCATCAGCAGCCCAAAAACAAGGCAAATAATCTCCCCCCCCCCTCCCCTTTGCCTATATCAGATTCTTCCCCGATTGAAAATGCTCATCTCCTGATAAGGATGCTTTAGATTTATCCCGATGAGATGATGGATCCAAATCCAATTCTTGAATCTTGGCCACATATTTCTTCAAAATAATCTCTTTCTTGCTTGAATTGATCATGCAAAAGTCGCTTTTTCTTCATGTATTGCTCCGTACATATGTGCATCTTCATCTAAAGCTTGTATAACTCATTTTGAATTGGATCGGTTGAACTTCCTTCCGACGGAATCCATCTGTCCATTTTGATTTGGAATTCAGGATTTTCTAGTTGATTTTCACCCACAACCGGTTCACCATTTTCTTCTTTTTCCATTTTTTCTCTAAATACTTAAAAAAAACACAAACCTAGGAATATACAAACCTAGGCTCTGATACCAAATTGATGCAATCAAAAGATTGCCAAAATTACATAAAAACTAGGACATCTTTGAGAATAAGAAAATACGTAAGTCTAAGACACAAACAAACTAAAATTTTATAATAGAAAGACGACCATACAAAAAAAAAAAACTCCTAAACTTGTTTTCACATCACTTGAGAAGAAAGATACAAGTGGCATGAAACTTGTGGAGAGAAGAAAAATATAAGAAGCCCGAGACGAAGTCAAAGAGAGGACAAGCTCGCAAGCTTTTCCAAGAAGAAAAACCCTCAAGTTTTAGCTTTCCAAAAATCATCCATCATCTCCTTTTTTTCTTTGATTGAGAAGAAAGATACAAATGGGGTGGTCACTTGTGGAGAGAAGAAGTGGATAAAAAGCCCGAGACGAAGTTGAAGAGATGACAAGCTCGCAAGCTTTCCCAAGAGGAAGAGAAAAGGAACAAGCTCGCAAGCTTTTCCAAGAAGAAAACCCTAAGGTTTTTTGCTCCAAAAATACTTCACATAATCCTTTTTTTATGCTTACAAAACATCATATATATATATATATATATAAGCTACAGTGGAGGCGGACCTTTAGTCCAGCTGGAGTAAACCCAGGTTGGCCCTTTGCCTAGTGATGGCTAGACTGGTCTAACACAGTGATGCTGAGTGAGAGAGGAATTGAAGTGTCTTCAAACAGGTAAACAATTTAGTCATTTTGAATATTCTAAATATTTAATATGTTATATGCATTTCATTATGACTTCTTTCTAGAGATTCATACAAAGAAGAAAAATTGATTAGGTCAAAAGCATTTAAATAATTTAGTGTTCATCAGTATAACCAAACTTTAAAAAGAAATTTCAATTTGAAGATATTCTTGATCCAAAAAAAATATAGTTTTTATTGATGAAAATTGCAAGTGGTTAATTGAGGAAATGAAGGATGCTGGTAAGCAACAATCCATTGATAAAGATTTGACTTGGAGGCAAATTAAACAGGCATGAAAAGAAGTTAATTGCAAGTGCTCTATAAGATTTAGCAGTTAATATTTAATACTATGCTTTCGTGATTTTTCATTTTAAAATGTAGTAGAAGATTTACTTTTCCACATTCCTTTGTTTTTCAAAGACTGAAAGCATAAGAAAATAATGATTAAAGGCAGACTTAAAGGCCAAAACTACCAAAACTTCAGAAACTAAAACTCTTAATCAGATTCCATAATAAAATAAACACATAATGAAAATAGTGATTATGAGGTTATCAAGAGGCAAGAGGTTGATGGCTAATCAGATTCCATAATGAAATGAATTCATAATGAAAACAGTGATTATGAGGTTATCAAGAGGCAATTGGATGATGGCAAATTGTTGTGTTAACATATCTAAATTATCATATTTGCTAATTTAAGATAGGAATTACATTATTTAATCTTATAATATTTCTTTATTATTGATGATATTTTGTTTTATTATATTTTCCTGGATTGTTCTCTTCCATTGACGATATATATAGGCATGTATATGCTTATACTAATATGACAAATGAGTAAAGATGTAGTTCTTTATATGTCTTTTGCTTCAAATCATGATATCAGAATGATCTCATGATATGTCTTTGATTATATTTTTCTGGATTGTTCGCTTCAAAGCATGAGATGATTTTTCATTTTGATCTCAATTTAGTCCCAAATGAATCAGTTTTCGACCAATGTTGAATAATCAATGGACTAAACTGAAACAACATGACACTCTAGGACTAAATTTATCATATACAAATAATCGGGGGACTATTTTGAAGTTTACCCCCTTATTTACTATTGAAATACTTCCTTGATATTGAGAATATTCTACTTTATTGTATTTTCCTTGATCATTCTCATCTCTTGACTTATTTTTTCAAAGAAAATGAAACATAGACAATCTAAAGTACACATGTATAATCGAATGACTTGACGTTAATTATATCTACATGTTAATTATGTCTGCATAAGCCAATTCATAGATATTTGTCACAAGTTGCTCTCTCGACGTCAGGGGCGGAACAAGCCTTAATTTTCGGCGCAAGGGGGGGGAGGGGCGCAAACTTATAAGTAACTGTTGATGTTGCTTCGAATTTGGCTCGACTCTTCACTACAAAAAATTGGGTCAATAATGACAAAAAAAAATAGAGAAAAAGAAATCTAAAGACAACTTTTAGCTACAAAAAGTAACTAAGGCCTCTAAATAATAAGTAAACTTGATATTAGACCAAAAGGAAAAATTGTCTTATAATTTTGTCACTAGAAGTGTAGAGAATTCTCTTGTTCATATATATATATATATATATATATAGTGTGTGTGTGTGTGTGTCATTTTAGTGAAATGATTATTTGTACTTGAGTACATAATACATTTTAAAAAAAACATCAACTTTTATATAATGACAATTATTCTTAAACAAAATTTAGGTTGAAGTATGGATGATTTGTTTGCAAAAAAAATCAAAATGATGTAATTGATTAATCATTCAATTTCTACAAAATGTATGTTAGAGTTGCCTTGAATTTAGCTCAACGCTTATTTGTTCACATCCTTGATCGCCCTACACTTACTAGATATGTCAAGGCTCCAAGGGGGCAGCGCCCCCTAACAAATTTTGGTTGTAAGGATATTTTTGAGATTCAAATTAATAAATAAAATGATGAATTCTCTTTACTATTTCTTTTTTTATTTGGTTCATCGTTCCCTAACAATAACACATTTAGACAATGTGTTTAATTATGCTGGGAGGCAATTGCCTAAAGACGGTAGTATTTTAAAACTTTTATGGGGGGCAAATGCCTAAAAATCCTTGTAATAAAGACTAAAAATAGATGGAACGGACCAAATTACTAAAAGAATCATATAATAAAAAATATATTTTTTTAGGGGGGGCAATTGCTCCCCTTGAGCTAAAGGGAGATCCGCCCCTGTTCGACACATAAGAAATTTTTACCTATTTTTCGTGTCAAAGAAAACAGACATGCCCTTTAGTCATATTGCCTATATCTAGAACTATAACTACAGCTATGCTTGACACCAGTATAACAAAGAAATGGAAAGAACAAATTTCATGAACAATTCAAGCTAAAAGGTATATTACAACAATTGAAAGATTTAAAGAATTTAAGCTCATTATCCATATGATTAGCATGTTATTATAATCAGTAAAAACATAAACTATAACTTTCCGATAATTCTGGTCAGTATTGAACATATCTGAGATAAATACAAATAATATGCTCTCTTTAAAGCCAAATGACAGTTGAAACACTCACAGCCTTCCGAAGTTCATCCTTTAGATGCTTCACCAAAGTGGGGTACTCTGAGGGGCCGGCTTTAACCAATGGAGAATCACAACTTGATAACTTGCACTCTAATTGACTCTTCTCATGGAGACACTGTTTTCAGTAGCGTTTAAGTACTTAACACCGGAAATACTACAATATTACAAAAGGAAATGCAAAATTAAGAATTCTCAAATCTTACCCGAACAAATTAAAAGAAAATTGAAATCGCAGAAGGAAATGAAACTAAAAGCAAAACTACGGGTTGTGGAAATGGTGGTTATTGCAAGTGTAAAATTAGAAAATACTACAAAATATATAATAGCATTATGGTAAAGTCATCAAAGTTTTTCACCTCATTCAGTTGTTCTTTTAAATCCACTAAGCTCTTTTTCAGTAGTTCTGCTTCTTGCTCAAAGCTATCAGCTCGGATTCTCATTCTTTCAAGCTGAAATAATCAAGAAATTGAATAGATCCAAAATATAAAATAATTCAAAAGAGTTTCCCCTGACTAACCTCAGCATTCACCCTTGACAGAGACAGCTTTGATTCATCTTGCAAATGCAAGAAAGACAAATGTAGACGGTTTTTCTCCCTTTCATTTTTCTCAGCAACCAGAAGAAGTTCCTTTTCAACAGTTGCCGCTTTTTCTTCTGCTGTCTCAGCCAACAATTCAGCATTTCTACGAACTTCAACTTCTTTTTTCAGCTGTACCTGTGGTCAGGGACAGAACCACTTTAACCACATGTAAGAGACCAAAACGGAAAATCATAACAATAGCAATGCCTTGTGGGATATAGTGAACCGAACTTGGGAAATGCAACAATGAAGAAGGCCATTACAAGAAGAGCTAATCCAGATATTGAAAAGTTCACATAAACACTAGTAAAGTAAGCTTGATGCCTTACCAATAAGTGAAAGAACAAGCAAAGTTTGTGTTTGCTTGGTTGAACTCCCTTTGGATTGTAGCTAATCAAAGTGGTATAGACATATAGTTCAGTTAAACAAATGTCATCAATTAAAAAAAAGAGCGTACATCTATTTGTTTGCTTATTAAGGTTCACAAACTACTAATTTCATTAGTAAGAAGTAGAATTAAGATTTTCTTAAACAGTCTTTGTGATTCAATGGGAGGCCCGAGTATACTTTCTTGTTAGAAGCCCTGGTGCAGAACAAACTCCACGAAGCTGCTCATTCAGGACACAATTACGTGCTCTTTCATTATTAGAATCAAGAATGGTTCAACCAAATCGCTACGTAAATGTTCATAGCCTTTATTCTTGTATGAAATGAATATAAGTTAATTTGTATGCTAAATTATTAAGAGCCATACAATTAATTATGCTCCTTAATGAGCACCTTTAAACATGTTTGCATACTCATTTAGTACATACTTGTGAGATAATTTCCATTACTAATACTCCTAGAACTCACCAGTCTTGACAATTACAAAGCTCAAGTCCAGGAAAACTTGCAATTTGTGCTTAAGAAATCAAGTCCTAAAAGATTCTAAACTTAGTTTTATTCATTTGGAATCCCGTAGCACATTCACGCTAGTAACAGTAGGTTAAAATATATATAATTGGTTTTAAGGCCAACCCAAGCACATCAACTAAGCATCCCCCAGCTTCATGCTCGATTAAAAGACCAAAAGAGACGAGTATGGGACTAAGAAAATTCCCGAGTAAATTACATACAGGCATGAAATCAAGAGGAAAAGAGAGAGGAGAGAGCCTGATAATATGTTCTACCTCCAACATGCAGGTCTCTGCTGCTATTAACGTCATGAGCCAATGGTTCAACAAATTGAAATTGGACAGAGCACTATCTCTTCCTTAATTCTCTCCAATTCAATCATTTTTTAACCTTCTTTGATACCAAAATCTTGCAGTGAAGGGAAAAGATGGAGGAATGATAGCAGGTTCGGAGATCCACTGCAGCTAGGAATGCGTCAACAGCCTTTGGACAGCCTTCACAGCAGGTTCAGAGAACCACTGCCAGGAAGCTAGACAACAGTTGGACTATCCAGATTGGCTAGGGTAAGAGGCAAACCGCAGCCTCTGGCACCTGGAAGACAAGGGACAGCAAGTCTGCCGCTCGGAAAGGTGGCAAACAGCACTTCTGAGGGGTTGGATTGGGCAGACAGCAGCAGTCGGCAAGTTCTTGATTGCAGAGGAAGGGAGAAAACAGAAAAAGGTTGGGGAAGAAGAGAAACACCGCCAGGCTGTGGCCATGATACAGGAAAGAACTTAAGAAAATAAAGATAACATTATTTAATCTCCAAAAATTGAATATAAGAAGAAAGATGTCACTTTATTTATAGAGCAAGTCTACCCCCACCCTTTGGAGGGAACTTATTAACGAAAACAATAATTTAAAATAAATAATAATAATAAGAGGAGAGGAGACCTGTTGGTTGAATCAGGCCAACTAGGTCCATCCAATATCATTCTCCATGTCTAGGAGAGGCTTCGGCATAATCCAAAGCCGATGAATCTTCATAATGAGTCAAATCAGCTATGTTGGAAGTGGCGGATATTTGATAGTCACCCAGTAACACCAATTGGTAGGAATTATAGTTGATAGCTTTGACAATACGAAATAGCCCATCAGCCTTTGCCTTGAGTTTTCCATGAGCTCTTGTAGAAAATCGTTCCATTCAAAGTTTGATCCATACCAAGCTACCTACTTTGAAATGAGATGTTTCCTTGATCTGTTTGCTTGTGCTTGATATTTTGCATTTTGTCTTTTTATTTGATCCTATACTTGTTGATGAAGCTTCTAAATTTCTTGAATGTGGAGTTTAGCTTCGGGGTGACATTCTTTAAGAGAGATGGGTGGGATCAAATACATCAGTGAAAGGGCATGGCCTGTGGTCTGATTGTGGGATCGATTATAAGCAAATTCTTCTTGGGATAAGATCAAGTGCCATTGGCAAATATTTTTGTCAATAAAACATCTTAGAAGGTTTCCCATGCTTCGATTGACCGCTTACGTTTGTAGATAAGCAGCAAAACTAAACTATAATTTGGTTCCAAGCTGTCACATCCCACATCACCCCTTCCAAACAACGCAGGGTGCAATAGAGAAAATCATATAATTCCTAAACATTCATAACCAAATCATTTCAACTATCTTCATGCCACTTAAAATGGAAACATTCAATTTTCTTCATGCACTTCATACGTATATAATTACAGAGAAATTAACCATCTAAAAATATTTTCCATGACAACAACTCACATACCTCTACTCAGGACTCATCTCATACTATCATAAAACCATAGTTTTTAAAATTTAACCCGAGTCTAATCAGCTTACACTATATCCCTGGCCTTTTTTGTAACAACAGCTAGAATAAAAATATGATGAGCTATGAGGCTCAAAAAAATATACAATTCTAATATCGTATTCAAGTATATAAAACATAATACTTACTTGTGTATCAATAAGTGAAAGTAAGAATTGCATGTAATCATTAAAAAATGAAATATGCAATATGGAATTATTTAACAGGTAAAATAAGGTCAAATGTAAGAACTATGCTCATATGAACCAAACTTTCCAGTATGTCTCATAATGCCAATATTATCACCACATGTCACATACTACCAATATCATCAATCATGTCAAATATATTCAATGAGTAATTCGTACGTCATAATATATAATCATTCGTATATCTTTCAGTTCATCAATTAATATTTTTTAAACCTTAGAAAGTGTCATGTTCACATGATGAGGTCTAAGTCTACAACTTGTTGTTGGATAAATTTTGTCATCCTCAATAGATTGCATAATTTGTGATTGAGCACGGAATTGAAAAATAATATAGCCCCGAAGGTCAAAAATATCATTTCTTTATAGGCTCAATAACAAAATTTATAATTTTAATTTAACAGATATTTTCTCTCATTCAATATTTAGTTGAATGTGGTTTTTATTCAGGGGTACGGATGTCTCATAAGAGCAAGACCTTGTGGTTAATTACATCTCAATATTTGGTACTAAAAAAATTAATTAAACTAATGGTATTCTTTCTTTTGAAAATCATCAAAATATTGGCTAAAGCTTTCATTTTAAAATTCATGAACAAGATTTTTTACATTTAGAAATTTCAAACAAGAGAGGGATCAACTTTGATTGGAATTCTTAGAATAAGAGCTAAAAGGGAGGAAGAGTATGAGTACTTGATTCTGAGGGGAAACTCAGAGGTATTCAAAACTATCCTTTATTAGGCTTTACATTTTAGAATTAAATTTTATTTAAGTTAATCATTTTCATTTAGAATGTTGGGGCTTATATTCCAACAACAAATATTGAAGAAAATGTCCAGAATGTAAGGATTTATGAGGTGATTGAAATCAACCACTGCCTCGGACCTTAGAACTAAGGTGAGGACTTCTGAGGGATAGTGCTTCGAACCTAAGTATAATGGAGTGCAAAGGATTTCTAAATTATACCTCACATGAGGTATAGCCAGCCCGACCTGTGGATTTATTGTCTTGCTTGAAAAGGGCTACCAACTAACCCACATAGTCATTTTTAAAACCATGATATCCAGTCTCAATGCATATGAAGAATAGGGAGGTAATTTTTATTTAAAGGATAGGGCTAACAGCTTAGCTTTGAGGCCAAGATACCTAACTATATGGGTATACAAAATGCTGACTCACAAATGCAAATTTTTTTATTATCTAATTCTTAAGTGAGGGCTTTTCTACAAGAGAATTACTGGGTTAGGCATGATCATATTAATTTTGGAAAACTTAGCTCCTTGAAAAGAGACATGCAATTTTTCTTATATTTTACAAAAAATATAGAGCCTAAGGTTGATTTTATGTTGTTTAACATTTTAATGAGTAGAAAACTAAATTTTATCCTTAGAGCCTACTGCATCAATATGTCCAGGTCACCCCCAAGCAAAAGCAAAGAAGAAACCTAGGAAAAAATATGTTTTTTATTACGCAATCAAGTAAACAATCAACACATGCTTTCATATATGCATAATCAACAAAAAGGAATGTAGTCCAAATTATTAAAATTAAGTTTGGCAGCTAAATTGTCTATCATTATACAACCAGTCAAATCTTATTACAGACTTTACTTGTGTGGGAGTCTTTAAGTTATGGCTTTCAGGTAGACCTTGGGCTTCACATTTAACTTGTGCATCCTCTTGATCCACCTTTCCTTTGACTGAACCCCACAAGTTTAACATACAACTCCTAAATTTATCAAATACATGTTAAAAATATAAAAGACTCAAAACATACAAAATAGGGTAGGGATTAGAAGCAGTTTATGTATAAAGCATGAGAAATCATCAAGAATTGTCTAGCACTGTAAGTGATGTCCCGGCTTCTACCCTATTGGACATAGTAATATGCAAGAATATGTTAGCAAGCATTTTATTTATTATTTATTTCACCCCCTTTTGGACATAGTAATATGCAAGAATATATATATATATAGCCACTTAAGGGCAAGTGCCAATAATACAGACAATCAAAAAGGCACCACACCAAAATATCAAACACATGTGCAGAAAAAAGAAAAATTATAATCCTAACATGCCTACGAGGTTGTACACCTAAGTATGTGAAGCTTATGAGGCATGTCACATTATGAAAGGTATTTTATTTTATTGAGGATTGGAGGTATTTAAATTTAATCCAATAGTGATTTCTCTTTTAAGTTGTTTGTGACTTAAAAAT